GTTACATGATTCAATCTTAGAAAGTGTTTACTGTGACTGAAAGCTTTCCCTTGCAAATTGGTCGCAATTAGAAGCGTTATGAAAATACACAAGTTTTTGCTATTCATCGAAGCGATCGATAAAAGCAAGAGAGCGCAAATTCCGGGTAAGCTGTCTCCTAACGGCGAATTCCGGCTTGGCTACGATGCAGTGTGAGAGGTCGGACTGTAAAATCGAACAAACGGTTCCCAAATTCAAGTATTCAAGTACTTGTTTTTTTCAAATCGTACTTCCTTTTTTAGAAATGCATGTTGTTTTTCATAAAGTTTGAGAGTAAAAGGGGTTATTTTTGTCTTGTTACACTTGATGGACTAAGGTGAACGGAAGTCAATCAGCCAGTTGAATAGTATACACAAGAGGCGCAAGTTGTTCAGTTTTAAAAAAAATGTCTGACGTATATAGGCCTCTATAAATAAAGTAGATATATTTATTTAAACACAATATATGCCATTGAACACCTTACACTGTATTAGTGATTGCTTCTTTCAATCTCGTTTCAGCGCACTTTTTGGCAAAGCGGAAGTTAGAATAGTGGTTATAGATAGGTGCAGGCGGAGTGGAAAGAATAGCTAAGTAGTTGATTTAGAATTTGCCATTTTGAAACGGAAGACGAGCCACAAACAAACAGCCTGACAGTAAAGAACCAAGCAACCATCAAATTAAATATGAAAAAGATCTTTATGACAATCTGTCTACTGCTCTTGTTGACCCTATCACATTCCTGGTGGGGCAGGAGACGAAGAAGAAGAAGACGGTCCTGTAGCAGTGTTAACTGCCAGGTCGGTGTATGGACAAGCTGGAGTTCCTGCTCACATCAGTGTGGTACAAGCGGTACACAGGCACGGACACGGCAGCAAACGCACGCCGCGTCCTGTGGCGGGACCTGTCCTTATCATTTACGTGAAACGCAAGCGTGTAACAGAGATGGCTGTCAAAACGGTGGTACTCCAAACAGCAATGGCTGTAGCTGTAGATCGGGATACCGCGGAACATGTTGTGAGCACGGTGAGTTAAGGCAACCCTTAATTTTTTCCGATACAATTGAGATTTGTTTCTAACTGCCTTGCAGGCCAAAGCAGATAAATCCCGTTTATTAATTCGCATATTAGCGGTTTCAGACTGAACGGGTCTTATAAAATCCTTTAATTTAGCACTGCTACATATTTATTGCTGTAGAGACGCAACTACAACGCTAAAACAAACCAAATATGAGAACCACAGTTGATTATCCAGGAAATCTGAGTATGCTTAGAACGTGTTATTGCTAGTAGATATTGACCATACATTTGCAAAGAATGCTTTATATTTTAATGATACCGTCAAGAAGCGGACACCTTTCCGTTATTTAGGTTGAAAAAATATTAATACAGCTGTAATGGCTGAAAAATATTTTGATTACTTGTCACGTTGAAATGCAAACTAAAAGCCAATGTTCACTGATATAATCCGACGCCTTGAAATAGCTGAATGAGTGTATTATTGAACTTATTAATAAGCAAACAGTAGATAACCGGGATTGTTTTCCTCCGGTTATAATCCGCCGAAAATACCTTTAAATGAAGAAAACAAGTAGATACGCCGAATTTATTCCACTTCTAATTGCATTTTAAGTGAGGTAAAGGAAAGAGCAATGTTTCCCATTGAAATTAAACATGGTAAACGAACAAACAAATGATGGATGCGATTGATATAACCTTTTTATGCAAAACCGTAAGCTAACTATAGGCAAAATCATGAACGAAACGTATTTCTCCTTTTTATTGACCTGGCGGCGAAATGCGTCGAGTCTGCTCTGATGTCACAAACAAAGAATCACGCGATGAAAGGTAAGACTTCTTTAACAAAACCCTGTGGGCTTTCGTTTTGCCAACTAAGTAACGGCGGAGTGACGGAGGAGTGATAAGTCAAAAATGTTTAGTACGCCGGGGTGCGTAATTGTCGATCTAACCTAGCGCGATTTGTATAATTTTGAATCTTTTGAAAATAGTTAGGTTGAAAAAAACAAGAATAAAAAGCAAAGATTTTCGTCGTGGGGCACTTTATCATCATTTCAAGCCAATAATATGTACCTGGTAAACGACATGAGATGCAAATGATCAGGTACCGTTTGAGGTATTTTACAAGATAAAATAGGATATATTTAACATCTGAATATTCATCATTATAAGCTAAATTTTGATCTTTGAAGACTTATTTATATGCGAACTTNCTTTAAATGAAGAAAACAAGTAGATACGCCGAATTTATTCCACTTCTAATTGCATTTTAAGTGAGGTAAAGGAAAGAGCAATGTTTCCCATTGAAATTAAACATGGTAAACGAACAAACAAATGATGGATGCGATTGATATAACCTTTTTATGCAAAACCGTAAGCTAACTATAGGCAAAATCATGAACGAAACGTATTTCTCCTTTTTATTGACCTGGCGGCGAAATGCGTCGAGTCTGCTCTGATGTCACAAACAAAGAATCACGCGATGAAAGGTAAGACTTCTTTAACAAAACCCTGTGGGCTTTCGTTTTGCCAACTAAGTAACGGCGGAGTGACGGAGGAGTGATAAGTCAAAAATGTTTAGTACGCCGGGGTGCGTAATTGTCGATCTAACCTAGCGCGATTTGTATAATTTTGAATCTTTTGAAAATAGTTAGGTTGAAAAAAACAAGAATAAAAAGCAAAGATTTTCGTCGTGGCGCACTTTATCATCATTTCAAGCCAATAATATGTACCTGGTAAACGACATGAGATGCAAATGATCAGGTACCGTTTGAGGTATTTTACAAGATAAAATAGGATATATTTAACATCTGAATATTCATCATTATAAGCTAAATTTTGATCTTTGAAGACTTATTTATATGCGAACTTTAAATCGATTACCACTGAGTCAATGAGCAATGATATTATGTGGCGGAGAATTAGACACTCGTTTTCTAGTATTTTCGAATTTTGAAAGTGAATCGTATTACTTGCCATGCGAGAAACAAGTCTGTACCTTTGAAGCAGACAATCAAACATTTTAAAAAGCGATGCCTTTGCTGTAAGCTATTAGCCCCTAGAAATCAGTTTGCTAAACTCATTTTCAATCTAGTCGAGCCGTTTACTGGTCACTATATAACTGACCAAAAAAACTTCGCTACTGTCTATTTTTGATTCTCATTTGCAACTTCCTCATGCATGCATGGAAATGGAAGGCAAATTACCTATCATTAGTAATTCAACAGAAAAATGTTATCAGTTAATTTTTTTTATTGACCATTATCTATTCAAAAATTTACGCTGTGATTCATTTTCATTTTTCGCTAATTTAAAAGAGTGAGAGGTACTTTTAGGGATAACATTCTCGGCACATTTATGGATAAGTGATATCTGTTCTCAGAAGTTACGGGTCCTTCAAGACGGCGAGTTACGCTTCCGAAGTTATACTGAGTTGAGTTACATCAGAGTGAGTTCGGGGGTGCTGCACAGTAGGGCATCGTGTTAGAGAATTTTACGCAAAGTCCAGAAGGACAATTTTACTAAACAACTTTATTTTGATTCAACATCGATCCAAATAAAAAAATTAGAAACTCTGAAGGCTTTGAATTCTATTTGCGTATCTTATATCTATGTATATTTAAAGGTTGTCTAATTGTTGTATTTAATTTTAATTCTTTTTTTTTGTCATACACGAACCTTTAAGGATGCATTTCCTTTCAACAAAATTGTGTATACGTCCAACGTGATTGTTTGATGCGAAAAATGAATGTGTGGACTCCGCATTAGGAGTACGGAATCTAAACGCAACATTGGGTCATTATTAATACTAAAGGGCCAGACGTAATTCCACTATTAGTCAGGTTTTATTATAGCGGTAAATAAAATTTTATCTTACCAAAGCGTGGACGCGATACCCCTCACTTACAGTAGATCTAGCTCCTCGCGCAGTATGGACTGACAGTTCGTAATCATACGTACATGTTGTTAAATGGCTCAGTCGAAGAAATTTCGCGTTGATTGTCTTTCCTTGCAAACTGATCGCAAGTAGAGTAAAAACAAAAGCAAACAGGCAACTGAAGTACATTGCTGGGGCCCAAAAAAACTGCCTCGATGCTTTGCTTGCTACGTAAAAAATGATAAAAGAATTATGCAAAGAATTTTAGAAAAAAAAGAGTGCCCAACAACCAATATCGTTTGTTTGGTTTCCGTTTAAGCTTCCACGAAATTGCGGTATTACTGATTTGTGGTTTAGATAATTAAAGTGATGCATTAAATACGTCAGTACCTTGTTTTTCTCAAATCCGTTTTTAAAGTAACAGTGAAGAAAGGCTTGTAAACATTCTTCAAATCAACATATTGTTGGCTGTCCTTTATAAGGCAGGAAGGAACTTGTTCTTCAGAAGTTTTAGAGCTGGAAACAGCAAAAGCGGCATTGCCTCGGGGGAAATGGGGGGGAGGGGGGAGGGGGAGGGGCGGTGGGGCTGTACTCAGCAAAGTTTTACACGGGCAGACTCCGCTCTAAACCCTTACCCTTTTATATACTATTTTTGACTGAAAAGGTACCCCTTTCGTATGGCCTTGTATTGACAAATGGTACCCCTTTCACCTACATATAGTTTAGAACTTTCTACCCCTTTTAACTACTGTAAATGTACTTTACCCTTTCATATATCTCAACTGGTTATATTTCGCCTACCCTACCTTTTTTCGGAAGCCTCCCGTATAGGCCATTATAGTGAGTACCCCCCCGGGAATTACTTCTACGCAACAGGGCGTAAATAAATCCCAGTCAAACCGCTCTCGTTTGTCTGTAACATTACGTATATGCCATTGTGTATTTAAAGTGCCTTATTAAAAAGTACAATGCGGCTTTCTGTGCTCGTAAATCATGTCACGAATCAAGTGCCAGGAAAATGTCTTAACCTAACTAAGCCAGAAAATACTTGCAACAAACCGCGAAGATGAAACGAGATATGATGATAATCTGCCTCCTCCTTCTGTTAACGGAGGTAGATACCTGGAGAAGAAGACGACGGCGACGGAGGGCCGCTCCCCCGCCCTGCAGCGCTGTAAACTGTGTCGTCAGCAGCTGGACAGGTTGGAGTTTTTGCTCACATCAGTGCGGTACAAGCGGTACACAGGCACGTTCACGGCAGCAAACGCGCGCAGCGTCCTGTGGCGGGACCTGTCCTTATCATTTACGCGAAACGCGAGCTTGCAACAGAGACCGCTGTCAATATGGTGGCACCCCTCAGAGTTATGGCTGTAGTTGTAGAGCAGGATACGGTGGGANATAGTGAGTACCCCCCCGGGAATTACTTCTACGCAACAGGGCGTAAATAAATCCCAGTCAAACCGCTCTCGTTTGTCTGTAACATTACGTATATGCCATTGTGTATTTAAAGGGCCTTATTAAAAAGTACAATGCGGCTTTCTGTGCTCGTAAATCATGTCACGAATCAAGTGCCAGGAAAATGTCTTAACCTAACTAAGCCAGAAAATACTTGCAACAAACCGCGAAGATGAAACGAGATATGATGATAATCTGCCTCCTCCTTCTGTTAACGGAGGTAGATACCTGGAGAAGAAGACGACGGCGACGGAGGGCCGCTCCCCCGCCCTGCAGCGCTGTAAACTGTGTCGTCAGCAGCTGGACAGGTTGGAGTTTTTGCTCACATCAGTGCGGTACAAGCGGTACACAGGCACGTTCACGGCAGCAAACGCGCGCAGCGTCCTGTGGCGGGACCTGTCCTTATCATTTACGCGAAACGCGAGCTTGCAACAGAGACCGCTGTCAATATGGTGGCACCCCTCAGAGTTATGGCTGTAGTTGTAGAGCAGGATACGGTGGGACGTGTTGCGGGCAAGGTGAGTTATATAGGTGTTTTCGCTTGTAAAAGGATGGCAGTTGGAAACAATAATCATGATAAAACCTCAAAAGGGCAACTGAACAACAAATCTGTTGTGTCTGAAAGCAGACAGCACCTATAGCACTTTGACGAGTTTCTATTTCTTTCTTGTAAATCTACAGAATGGAGTTTTTTTCTTTTAACTTTGTAGGCTCTCACTCTCTCTTTTCCGTCTCACTATGTTCTCACAATATTAAGGTCCGGTCACAAGTAGAATCTCAACATATCTAAGAACAGTAAGCCTACAACTCGACTTCTTATAGCCGCAAAGTACATTTCATGCCTGACAAGCCTAAAAAACGGGCTATAAACAGTTTAGAGCTATTGACTAAACAAACGAATATCAAATTGTTACACAGAAATTATCGAAAAGAGTAACGCATTCTAGATGATAGCTAAGAGGATAATGTATAGTGTAATTATATCAAATGCAAAACGAAAACTAATCGATAATCAAGGACATACATTTCCATAAAAGCAATTAATATCAACGGTTTATTAGAGTTGTTAGTATTTTACATGGTGTAAAAAACTCATGCCAAAGACAAGTCACATCCATTTGATAACTGGAGTCTTATTCGTGTAAACACTGATCTTATAACAAACTGTTTTCGTTCTTTAAGGTCTGCATGGGATTGATAGACGGTGGGTTTTGATAGAAAAACGGGTTGTCTTTTAATTTTCTGATCAGTGAACTAGCAGTTTGGATTTTCCTTTGGGTTTTCTTACAGAAAGTATGTTGTGCTCACTTTTGACTTCCTGTTATTTTTTTGCTGCTACGGGAACTGCTTAGCGGGATTAATCAGGTCTGGTATGCGGAAATTCGGAATAAGTCCACGCCAAAAAGAAAAAGATAATTAAAAAGTTATCCGAATTCCCGGATTCTTATGGGTGAAGGAATTCTCAAATTTTTATTAATACTATCATCTGTTTTTAAATATGATACCAGATCAGAAAATCACTGAAGGAAAAGGCTCTCAATAGAACCCGTTACAACAAACAATCCCCGAATCTACTGTACTTACTGCTTCGTTCCCGACCTTTTTCGAAGGCTTTGCGTTTCTATTACAACAACGAATCTCATCATCCAATAAAGTTTATCATCGTTTGCTTCGGGTTTTTCCTAACGCAGGAACTTGTCGTTACGCATGAAAAGTTATATTTGCAATAGATGTATAGATGAGTTGCCTGAATTCAAGTTAGCTCGGTTATGATTTTGTTTTGATAGTTTGGCCGAAATTATTTGAAAGTACATTAAAGCGAATTTTTTTTTCAGTTAGAACAACTCCTACTGAATACTATATCGCACTGTGCTTTGCTATCATGTTTTTCATTGTGCATCAGTAATTGTTCATACGGTACAAAAACAATTAAAAAAAATTGAACTGATGAGTTAAATGCAACGAGCAAATAAAAGCAATGAATATATAACAGTTGACCCTTTGCAATGGCCTCAGTTCAATTGACAAAGTTTGTAGGGTTATATCTATAAACCCTTACGTCCCAGTAACGCTATTGGTACCTTCTACATTACCATCATGTACTGTTCCAGTCTCAGACTTTTTTAAAGTACTCTCGAAAATAATCAATCATGCACTATCAGTTACTTCATTGGAATAATTCTAATTAAATGAATTGTAGCTTACCAAAGCATGAACGCGGTATCCCTCACTCGCTATAGACTTGGCTCCTCTCGCAGTATTGACTGACACTTCATAATCATATGTACAAGTTGTTAAATGGCTCAGTCGCAGAAATTGCGCATTGATTGTCTTTCCTTGTAAACTGTTTGCAAGTAGAGTAAGGACACAAGCAAGAAGGCACTTAACGTACATTGCGAGGCCAAAATAAGCTTCCGCGGCTAGCTTCGGCTTTTACTATTTTCTAATCACAACTGCCATTTATTGAACAAAGCAGCTAATTCAGCTGCAACGGCTTTTTTTCTTCGCCCAGCATCCACGGAACGCGGTTTTATTCCCGCCTTCTGTTTAAGCTTCCACAAAACGAGTCGTTTGTGTAAAAAGGCAACCAAATTTAACATAAACACCATTATTTTCACGCATCGATGTACAAAAATCAATGAAAAAACCTCAGATTAAATAATTACAATTGTCTAAGAGCAACCCATGGTATGCGGAAATTCGGAATAAGTCCACGCCAAAAAGAAAAAGATAATTAAAAAGTTATCCGAATTCCCGGATTCTTATGGGTGAAGGAATTCTCAAATTTTTATTAATACTATCATCTGTTTAATATTATACCAGATCAGAAAATCACTGAAGGAAAAGGCTCTCAATAGAACCCATTACAACAAACAATCCCCGAATCTGTGCTGTACTTACTGCTTCGTTCCCGACCTTTTTCGAAGGCTTTGCGTTTCTATTACAACAACGAATCTCATCATCCAATAAAGTTTATCATCGTTTGCTTTGGGTTTTTCCTAACGCAGGAACTTGTCGTTACGCATGAAAAGTTATATTTGCAATAGATGTATAGATGAGTTGCCTGAATTCAAGTTAGCTCGGTTATGATTTTATTTTGATAGTTTGGCCGAAATTATTTGAAAGTACATTAAAGCGAATTTTTTTTCAGTTCGAACAACTCCTACTGAATACTACAGCGCACTGTGCTTTGCTATCATGTTTTTCATTGTGCATCAGTAATTGTTCATACGGTACAAAAACAATTAAAAACCCGTTACGAAAAATTGAACTGATGAGTTAAATCCAACGAGCAAATAAAAGCAATGAATATCTAACAGTTGACCCTTTGCAATGGCCTCAGTTCAATTGACAAAGTTTGTAGGGTTTATATATCTATAAACCCTTACATCCCAGTAACGCTATTGGTACCTTCTTCATTACTATCATGTACTGTTCCAGTCTCAGACTTTTTTAAAAGTACTCTCGAGGATAATCAATCATGCACTATCAGTTACTTCATTGGAATAATTCTAATTAAATGAATTGTAGCTTACCAAAGCATGAACGCGGTATCCCTCACTCGCTATAGACTTGGCTCCTCTCGCAGTATGTATGTTGTTAAATGGCTCAGTCGCAGAAATTGCGCATTGATTGTCTTTCCTTGCAAACTGTTTGCAAGTAGAGTAAGGACACAAGCAAGAAGGCACTCAACGTACATTGCAAGGGCCAAAATAAGCTTCCGCGGCTAGCTTCGGCTTTTACTATTTTCTAATCACAACTGCCATTTATTGAACAATGCAGCTAATTCAGTTGCAACGGCTTTTTTTCTTCGCCCAGCATCCACGGAACGCGGTTTTATTCTCGCCTTCTGTTTAAGCTTCCACAAAACGAGTCGTTTGTTTAAAAAGGCAACCAAATTTAACATAAACACCATTATTTTCACGCATCGATGTACAAAAATCAATGAAAAAACCTCAGATTAAATAATTACAATTGTCTAAGAGCAACCCCGTTGTGACGCAAATAGCTTCAGCGAAAACAGGAACTCTGTAAGTTATAATTAAACTAGGCGTTCTGGCTTTAGTTGTTCAAACGTTTTTTAGCGCTATTCAAGAGATAAATCACTTTCCAGCGGAATATGTATGGTAACGCGATTGGTTTCCTTTTCAATTGGATTCCTTTTAAGAGATTTTTAGAGATTTATTTATAGCATTATTCGCCTGTAGAACAACTGGAGCATGTCCATAATTTCAGCGAATTTCATTAAATAACATTACCGCTGTGTCTGTTACTTTCAATTAATAATACAACAAATTCCTCGAAGCTGAAACAGGATAACTTCCTCTTCTCGCATGCCTAAAATGCTCTAAAATAACAGAATTTGGAATAAGGAAAATCCGTACGAGTGTTACCAAGGCTAAAATATAATTAGCGGCTGAAAAACCCGGTTAAATGAAAACAGCAAAAAGCCCAAGCCTTTTTAAAATGTTACTGTTAGATACAAAAGAATGTAGGCATCGTAAGTAATCAATTCAAGCGAGAAAATTTTAAAGCGAAGGCTAAAGATTAAACTAATGAAAGTGATTAGAATCTATTTACCAACAAAATAGTGCAAAAATTGTAAGGTATTGATTTTCATATAAAGATTCCTCAGAAGTACCAGAAGAAGCGCATGGAGAAGACGAACTTGTTCACGCGTGGACAAACACCGAAAGCGGAAGTTTTCAATTTTGCATTAATTTTAGTGTACTGTAATTTAAAAAGAGCGATCATCTAAAACCAGAACTAATCATTTTTAAAGTAGCCTGTGTCAGCATAGCAAAACAAACATGAAAAGATCTTTCATTATAATTTGCGCACTGCTTTTGATTATGGAGGCAAATTACTTTTTTTGGCGAAGAAGAAGACGACGGAGGTCTTCTCCGCCTTGCAGCGCTGTAAATTGCCTCGTCGATAGCTGGACAAGTTGGAGTTCTTGCTCGCATCAGTGCGGTACTAGCGGTACACGGGAGAGGACACGGCAGCAAACGCGCGTCGCGTCCTGTGGTGGAACATGTCCTTACGAGTTATGGCAAACGGAAGCGTGCAACCGAGATTCCTGTCAAAACGGTGGCACTCCTCATAGCAGCGGCTGTAGTTGTAGAACGGGATATGGAGGGGGCCTGTTGCGGGCAAGGTGAGTGCATTTCACTCAAGCATACTATATCTTTCTCTGTGAGACAGCAGTTTTAAGTGAGGGGGGGGGGTTGATGAAGTCAGATCATGAGAGTCGGAGATTAAGGCTTATCAGATTGATTCTACTTCCTTTAGAATATCTTAGAGAAATTTCAGATAAATTACTTTTTTTCAAATTTAGAAACAGCCTTACATCCACTGGCATTAGAAAATTCCTGCGCACGAACACAATCAGGATGATTGCAGAAAGTCATATTTCATTAGGACTGCCGAGCTGGGGAACTCTTTGCTATGCGAGTTCAAATTAGCCAACAATTATTCAACAATGTTTATAACTAGCCTTTTTCAATGTTATCTTTCAAAACTTGAGACCTGTAATCCTCCAATGTTGCAATCTGTAATGTTATGATCTTAGCTTGTCTTACTATGAGGTGCAATTAGGACGAAAGTTCTGTTCCTATCTCCTGCCACATCCCTCCCCCCCTTCCCGCCACCACCACCACCACTCCCATTTACTTTTTTTGTTAATACTCTCCTTTGTTTTCATTGCAATTGTTGTGGTGTGTGTATTAAACTAAAAATTGAGGCTGTTGACGTGTAGATGTGTGCCCAATAAATAAGACGTCAAGACATTGAATCTCTTGTGCTGTCTCGCTATTTTGAACAAAAAAATTTCATTTAGTTTTATTCTCACAGTCACTCATTCCTTCTCCCTTACTTTAAAAAGTGAAAAGCTTGACAAAAGCGTTTCTCTTGATTAGTTGTGAAATATTCAGGGGGAAATAAAAATAACCAGGGGGTATTTAGGGGTGGGCCAGGAGGTCCCGGTCTTCCCCTTTGTCCGGGAATTTTTTCCCTTTTCTAAACGTGTGTCGGATGGTACTTCGAGCTTTGTTACTTAATATATTTTCAGATTACATGTTCAATATGGAACCCATATATTTTCAGNGTCAAGACATTGAATCTCTTGTGCTGTCTCGCTATTTTGAACAAAAAAATTTCATTTAGTTTTATTCTCACAGTCACTCATTCCTTCTCCCTTACTTTAAAAAGTGAAAAGCTTGACAAAAGCGTTTCTCTTGATTAGTTGTGAAATATTCAGGGGGAAATAAAAATAACCAGGGGGTATTTAGGGGTGGGCCAGGAGGTCCCGGTCTTCCCCTTTGTCCGGGAATTTTTTCCCTTTTCTAAACGTGTGTCGGATGGTACTTCGAGCTTTGTTACTTAATATATTTTCAGATTACATGTTCAATATGGAACCCATATATTTTCAGATTACATGTTCAATATGGAACCCAGGCATTTGCTAAATTTAAGCGTCCAGAATGCACTAGATTGCATCTCAGAAAATTTCAATCTCAAAAATTTTCCTGGAGGAGCGCGCGCCCGAAACTCCCAAGAAAAGTGCGCCGTTCGCAGTCCTGATGGGTGCTTTCCACATTGCCACTGTATACCGTATATCTTGAGGCCCCCTCTATCACAAAATCCTCCGTCCACCCTGTTCAAAGGTTTTCTAATTTTATAATCTGAGCTTAGGGTGAGAGATTCGGTGTGAACAGATGACTTTCGCCAACCAACACTCTTTTTTTAACTCCTTCATTACATTTTCCTTTTTCGTAAAGAGATTCAAAAAGAATTTCTAAGACGGAGAAGGTTAGCTGTCTTCTAGTTCAATGCAGAAAAATTAACTATTTGGCATTTGAAGATCTTTAAATTAAACAACACGATAATAGTATATCAAAACGCGTAAAGTGAAGGCGGCATTGCATCAAAATGGTTAATATTACGCAGTCGACGAATAGTTTTATGACTAATCAAACGTCTAAGGACGAGGGCGACTCCACCGACTGGGCTAGTGAAGAAATTATTGGCTAAGAAAACCACCTGCTTTCACGCAAGATTCGCGAGGCGATAAACATTCTTACTCGGAGCCTGGAAATGAACCGTGATCAGGGCAACCAGCTTCCCTCAATTTATGGAACAATTTTGCATCCTCTTAAAACGAGTCTGCGAATAACAGCAAACGTCATCACTGATGAAGGGATCCGTTCGTGTTAAAGAATACTTCTTTGCAAAACACCCACTACTATTCTTTTGGAGTTTAACTACCTGCAAGAAAGCTCAAGCAGCCAATAGGCCCTTGCAGCGTGCAGTCACTTGACATTCTATTCAAGGAAGGTAAAATCACGTGGAAATTAGTCAAAAGGAAAATTTTGAGGTGACAGATGCAAAAGACCAAGATTTTTATGGGTGTTTGAATGTCTAAAATATTGATGGACTTCCCACTTTTTGAATCACCATGAACCGGCCCTCTCTGAAAAGAGGTTTAAAAAAACTACTTGACATAAGCACTGTTTACGTTACTAAATTAAGGGCTTGATTTTTTTTTGTCTTTATATATTACTAAACTAAGGGCTTGATTTTTTTCTGTCTGCATATATTAAGCCGAAGTATGGCAAAATGAATAGTGACGCAGTGAAAAAATAACAATAAACAATTACTTTAAAAGCATTAAAAAAGGTATGCCACCTTAGAGTTATTGTGTATTAAATTCTTTAACCCGTATTTTAGCGTTCAATTGTGTTTGTTCGTTGTAGTATCTTGCTCTATCCTCTCAAAACCGGGAATTTCAAGACATGCAACAAAATCTANCAATAAACAATTACTTTAAAAGCATTAAAAAAGGTATGCCACCTTAGAGTTATTGTGTATTAAATTCTTTAACCCGTATTTTAGCTTTCAATTGTGTTTGTTCGTTGTAGTATCGGGCTCTATCCTCTCAAAACCGGGAATTTCAAGACATGCAACAAAATCTATGATACAATCAAATCAATAGCTTCAGAATTATTTGAGTATTTGGTAATATGACTGACACTTTCATCAAGCATTTTGGATGAAGGAAAGAATCTGCACGTTGATATTGTGGTGTAAAGACTTCAACAAATCAAGTGCCCTCACTGATATCGTGGTTGTCAGACAGGTCACTTGTCAGTCAATACGCAAAGTGGAATAAATTCTTCCATTTTGCATTAATAGTTCTCTATGAGTGTAAATGAGAACCTCAGGAAAACTAGCAATATAAGGCAAAGTAGTCATTGCATGTAATCTATATGAAAATTAAATATGAAAAGAACTTCGATGATAATCTGCCTCCTGCTTCTGTTAACGGAGGTAGATACCTGGAGAAGAAGACGACGGCGACGGAGGGCCGCTCCCCCGCCCTGCAGCGCTGTTAACTGCCTCGTCAGTAGCTGGACAAGCTGGAGTTCCTGCTCACATCAATGCGGTACTAGCGGTACACAAACACAAATTAGGCGGCTGACGCGGGCCGCTTCTTGTGGTGGAAGATGCCCTTATTCTCTACGGCAAACGCGAGCTTGCAACCGAGATACCTGTCAAAATGGCGGTACTCCTCATAGTCGCGGCTGTAGCTGTAGACCGGGATATGGAGGAACGTGCTGTGACCAAGGTGAGTGCATGTCACTCCCACAAGTTTTTCGGCTTTGTATGTCAACCTACTACATGTAAGAAATGACTGCTCTTTTCAAAGCAGCGGCTGTAGCTGGTAGAGTTCGAGCGTGCTGTGGGCATGGTGATATAATTGCGCATATCACTTCCACATTTTTATAGTGTTTCAGTCAATAGCAAAAGGAAAAAAGTAAGATGGTGGGAGAGAGATTACTGTTCTGTGCGGACGAAGGTTCCCGCCAAATTAACCTATTAGTAAGCGTTCCTTAGTTCAAGTTTCTTTCAAATGCATTTCTAAGACAAATAATCATGATAAATTGCTTCAATAACGTTGTTCCCAAACGCAAGCAAGCTTGCATGGAAAACAGAGTTAACTTGATAAAACCTTTGAAGTATGACAGAACGGTAAGCTATGGTGGAGGTTTTCTTTAAACTGTACGCACGAAAGAGTAGCTGTATGTAATCACTTGGCTTCAACTTTAATAGAACCGTGAAAAAAGGGTATCTAGAATTTTTGTTTCGTGACTGTTGAAACCCTTACAACTGACCCTTTAGGCGCCTTATAAGATGTCATACCTTTTATCATCCAAAGTATCAATCAAATTTTCCAAGTTGTTACTAAATCCCAGTTGATGTGGCCTTTAGAAAAATGCGGCTGCAGGTTACATATCTAAGGTATTGTTTCAAATTATCACTTAAAATTAGGAGATGTACAAATTAAACTGACACGACGTCTCTTTAGCGCTGGCAATGTGCTATAGTCTCAGCTCTTGATGTGTGATTTTCATTTGAATTGTCTAACCTTTGGCATAGAAATATCAATTCTGAAAAAAAAAATTTAAGCGCTAATCAGTCATTCAATCAAAACAGTCAAACGACAGACAATCATTAAAAGGATAATTTGGATAAATTGCCAATAAAACGTTTTTTGATGAAGTCATATACAATTTTCGAAAGGGGAGGAAATTAAGTGGAAACTTCAGCATTAGAATTCAAACCCTACCAAGATACTTTTTCACTCACAGAGTCGTAACGCAGACGCTAAAATACAGCAAGTTGATGCATAAGTGATTACTAAGAACTCATAGCTCTAATATTTATACACGCTGCCCGCTGCGATTTTGAAATGAATATAAAACACTAAGAGTCGTGCAACTTGCCACGAAATCTACCAACGCGCAGGCAATATTTAGTGTTGCTAAAATCAACACTTGTATAACTTATCGCCTTTTGCACGCTTTGCGGGTAATCAGAGAAAATAAGAATTGAAAAAGTTACAATCAAAACTCGAGCAATGTCATCACGGAAATAGCTGAACACAAAAAAAAATATCTGTAAACATACAAACTTACCAGAGCATGAATTTGGTATCCATCGCTTGCTGTAGAATGAGCGCCTCTTACTGTATGTACTGAGACTTCGTAAGAGTAGGTGCATTTGGCGTGCAGAACGAGTGACAAATGTCTTAGTTTCTGGCCTAACACCACAGATCCCCAGCTATCATCTAAAGCTGAAATAAACGCCCATACTACTAACACATTTGGGAGCCAATTCATGGCTACTGCCAAGTGCTCCTGGAGGTGGCGAAATCAGGTCCCTGCTCAACAATAACCTAAGGTACACTGAATTTACATAGTATTTACATAGCACACAAGGCACACTAGGAATTTTATCAATATTTATCAGCTGAGAAAATTTCTGTGCACTCTTCAAAGCTTACTTCAATTAACTCTAAACAACATATTTCTTAGTTCTGAGGCATCTCAACCCTGCCCTCAGTTGCTCTCAGACATGCAAGCTGAAGTCCTGGCCTCCAAAGAAAATTTCGTAGAAACTGATATGCAGTGATAATGTCAGCACAATCAAGTGACCGAACTGCAAAGGAGCTAACGCTATTTTAGGCCAGGGTTGTTATTGCTTTAGCTTGCATTGCCTTAGATTCGAACGCAGTAAAATGTGGACGAAGAAGATGTTGTTAGCTATAACGGTGATACTTTCGTGTTGTGTGAGGAGCACTGATTCTTGGCGCAGAAGAAGGGGTGGAGGGGGCCCTCCTCCTTGTGGTCCAAGAAATTGTGTTGTTGGTTCGTGGAACGCGTGGAGTGCCTGCAGCCACCAGTGCGGGACTAGTGGAACGCAGAGAAGGACAAGACCACAGGTTTCTCCTGCTTCTTGCGGTGGAAGTTGCCCGTACACTTTCAGTGACAATCGGGCTTGCAACAGGGACAATTGTCAGAATGGGGGAACACCCCATAGCAGCGGGTGCTCTTGTCGACCGGGTTACAAGGGGACATGTTGTGAAGGAGGTAAGGAAAAATACCTGTGTGTGTGTGTGTGGAGCGTTTAAGGATCACTGTAGTTGGCTATTGCTGAAGCGGCTCCCCCGGTTGCCATCCTTTAAAGTTTACCAAGTATCATTTAATTATCAGTCATTTTTACTACAGGTGCTGTTTACGGCCAAGTTAAATAAAATCATGTGAATAGAAATAATAAAACTGAAAAATATTTAAAACAAATCCACTTGATAAAGACTATCAAGGATTAGAATCACAAAAAGATCAGCAGAAAATTAATTGTAAACGATTTATGAAGGCAGAAACAAAAGAAATCCGGCATTGATGAGAAAGTTATCGATCGGAAGTGGGATCGAGATGCAATACGTTTGTGCTCTCCAAATTGAATATTGAACGGAGTATTTATTCCTCCGTGAGTTAAATACAAAACACATTAACCAATAAAGCTCTCAGATCAACAGTAATCTGTATATCGCAATGGATCAAGAAGCAGATGCTACAATGAGCCTTCTAAATATTATGATTGAATATTTGCATCGCAACAATTATATTGATTCCTTGTATCGTAACCTTTTAAGGACCGCACTACTCTACTCGCGTTTTGAAAGCTATATTGATTAAAACCTAACGCTCAAACGATAGTTTAGCAATGCCGTCCCTCACCTTATACAGTCAGGTCGTGGATAAAGTGGGATAACCTTTGCTATATGAATTCTCAGAAAATGTGGAATTCCTAAGAATTTCTAGAACTTCCCTGTACTTCCCGCTTGTACAGCTAAGTACTAGGAACATTTGGGAATCTTAAAACACGATTCTAGGATTAATCGGTAATTCCGAAATTCACCTAACGAGTCCTAAGTGAGTTTTGAGTTGTGGTTGGTTTGCGGCTCAAAAGGAGTCTTATGTGCGTGGGATGAGCCCCGGGGGGACACTCAAGGGAAGTCTGGGTAGAGGTGTGCCGCCGAGGCCCTCAAACCCCGACACTATTTAAGACAAAAATTGCTCATTTCGCCACTCTGTTTAAGACAGGAGACACTACTTTCTGACCCTAATTTGCTTTGTTTTGCATGCAGAATTAAGTAATTTTTCACACTAAAATCGTGGAAACAGATTTTTAGGGGAAAAAATATCGGTATTGCAAATGTAGACCGCTCATCGCAAGACAAGACAATGCTTTATTTGGAGTCTTATACAGTCCTATGTACATCGACTTTATCCAAATAATTTAAAATCATAACACATATTGCACACTAGTGGAACTATAATCAATGTTAACCTAAAGAACTAATGATCTTCTTTTCTCATAGCAGTCGAATACGTATTTTGCAATTAACTTTTGCACTGGTTTGTTAGTTTTGTTTGTTTTGGCTGCCAGTCAAAAAAGACGCTTAATAGTGAAATTGTATACCCTGTTCAAGACTCAAGACCTTGAAAACTAGGCCAAATAAAGGAGTGCCCCCCCGCGGGGGATGAGCCTAGTATCTTCGGTCTTGTCATATAACTCTGCTAAACTGTTAACAGTAGTGGGTCATAAATTTCAATTGAGCATTGCAACTTTGCAACGTTTAAAAAGAAGCGAACACTGTTCTTCTATCCTGGGCGCGTGTCGTGCAACGGCTCACGAGCGGAAAAGAGAGCCGGTCAGGTGATTACACATGCGTGTCAGCAGAACATTACAAAGATGTTTACTGATGCAGCAAAAATAATATTAAAATATTATTTTTGCCTCTACGCGGAAAAAGGTATTAAGATTCAAGAACTGGGCGTTCATAGTGTCGAGTAAACCCTTTATCTTGCTTTAACTTAATGTTGGAATGTAAAAATACCAGTGAAAGGCTGAACCATTTAACTGATATTGGAATGGTTCAGCCTTTCACTGGTATTTTTACATTACAACATTAACTTAAAGCAAGATAAAAGGTTTACTCGACACTATGAACGCCCAGTTCTTGAATCTTGATACCTTTTTCCGCGTAGAGGCAAAATTAATATTTAACCCACTGATAACCTTAAACCAGGTTTTAAAAGATAGTTTTAAGAGAGAGTGTTAAAGTCTTCTTTTTTTTTTAAAACGGCTTTTTATGGGGAAAAAGATCAGATAGAGGTGGAAAAAATGTCATGAGGGAGGGAGGAGGAAGGAGAGAAACAAACCGAAGTTCAATAAAAAGCCAAAGGCCAAACGTAAACTCTGGTAAACTGCCGGATTGAATGATCCCTAACAGTTGCATTAAGAAAAAGCAAAAACTTGAGCCTTGTATCAGTAAAAAATGAATTTCAGCTATGCTGGACGCAAAATTTTAGTGAATAAACAAACCAGTAGTAAACATACAAACTCACCAGACCATGAACTTGAAATCCATCGCTTTCTGTAGAATGAGAGCCCCTTGTGGTATGGACTGCAATTTCATAAGAGTAAGTACATTTGGCGTGTGGTACGAGTGACAAATGTCTCTGGTACATAGATCCCCAGCAATAATCAAAAGCTAAAATTAAGCCCCACAGCAATGGCACATTTGAAAACCAATTCATTGCTTCTGCCAGGCACATACTTCTGGAGGTGGCGAAATGACTACAGGGGGCCAAACTGTGCAAAACGTGACTAACAATAATTAAGTAAACTATTTTACGTCACAATAGACTCGTTAGGAATTTTTAACAACAATATTTCTCCGATGAGGAAATTTCTATCGGACCAGCTTGAGGCTTACGTGCGTTGAAAACATTAATGATAACAAATTCCGACCCACAGTCAAGCACTCGGTTGTTAAAAGAGCTGTGATCATTCCGAACGAATCTGAAGTGCTGTTCTCACAAGACCATTTTGTAAGACCAGTCGATGCAATATTGCAGGCCGTCAAGTGAGGACAGTGAGAGAAAAGCAGGGCGCCTGAGATAACGCGATTTATTCGGCCAAGCTGCAAGTTTAAGTTTAATCGTCACAGTTTCCTCCCTACACTAATATTCGAAGGACGATGTGGAAAATTATGTTCACGATTTTTTCACTGGTGGTCTTCTTGTGCGCGCAAAATGTTGATTCTTGGCGCCGGAGGAGACGCAGACGGGCTCCTCCTCCGTGCAGTGCTAGAGATTGTACAGTTAGTTCGTGGAACACGTGGAGTTCCTGCAGTCACCAGTGCGGGACTAGTGGATCACAGAGAAGGAGAAGAGCACAGACTTCCCCCGCGTCGTGTGGAGGAAGTTGTCCGTACACTTTCGATCAAACTCGCGCTTGCAACAGGGACAAATGTCAGAATGGGGGGACACCTCATAGCAACGGTTGTTCTTGTCGGTCAGGTTACCAAGGAACGTGTTGCGAAGGAGGTAAGAGGTAACGTTGGTTGACGTTTTTTAACAATTCCGGATCAAATTGCACTTTGAACGATGGTTTTTTAGAGTTGTGATTACCGGTGAAGAATATGTTGACATTTAACTTTGTATATTAGATTTTATCAAGAGAGGATAAAGCTCAGAGACTGAATCTCCTATATAGGCCCTATACCCATCGTAATCCCTCTAAAGATATTTTTAGATCTTCTTTTTTTGTTTCCAAATGGGCTGAATGATAGGCAATCATACGTCCTTAGTTTTTGCAATGTTGACAGGTGGGCGAAGGCCCGCTCAATGCTCCGCTACGTTCGCGAATCAATTGTTGTATTGGCGGAAGAAATAACGAGAAAACTGCAACCATAGGGAAACGAGTCCAATGTATACGTTTTGTGGACGAATGCGCCTCTAGGGAGGTGAGTGTAGTAAGTGGAAAGAAAAAGTATGGTGGCATAGATTGTAAAGCTTCAAATAATTTTAATAACGAAAGAACTACAGTACATCCCGCTCTAAGTACGCACTAATATCAGGAAAAACAAAATTGAATGTATCAGTCCCCGAAGAATGTTTTTGGTGTAGCTTCTGTTTAAGCAACAATTCGGATCTAAGCTAATTTACCGTGAGAATTCAGCATCCTGCAAACGAGATACATGAAGAAGAAACCAAAGAAACTAAAATCACTAACAAAAGGTTATTTAGCTGCAAGAAAAAGCTACCTTTAAAGATGTCAAAGAAAATTGTTGCTTAAAAAGACAACTGCTTCTAAATATCAAAGTAATCCGCTGTGTAAACCACACCGGAAACCACAAAACAATTATTAAATGCCTCATGACCTCTCAATGTTCCACGGAGACTCATTAGAGCGACCAAATTAAGATTTGCTGAGTGAAAAATTAAAATACTCCATGCACTTCATAACCTACGAGCTAAAAAGAAAAAAAAGAAAACCGTTCTTGTTTTAAAGAATACTTAGGGCGGTGACGTTTCACACTCATGGGCTTGTCAGTCGTGTTCAGCCTGTCAACACATTATTTCAAATCCAATTTCCTTTCCTTCTGTTTCTCGACGCTAATTCCAAATTGATACGTACTGAAATGAAGAAAAACCTCTCAAAAAACAGTTATCATTTCGCACAAAGAGAGGATAAGACCTCTTTATCCTCTCTTGTTTCGCATTCATCGCAACTCTCGCACCCCCGACGTTAAAGGGATTACGATGGGTAGAGGGCCTATATATGGGGATTCATTCTCTGAGATTTATCTCCAGGGAAAATCGCCCTGGGGATGAGGTTGTTATATTAAAAACCTCCCAACTGCACATGACTGATGTCATGAACTGTTGGAGGGTAGATCAAAGGTTAGGGCGAGGTCAGGGTTAAGGTTCAGTGGAATTTTCTAAATATTTTATCCAGCTTGTTGGAAAAAAGAGTAACCGAACTTCAAACTAATAGCTTCTGGAGGCAAAACCGACCTACAAAGTGCAAAGAGCGTCCGAAGTTTTGCGTTAAGTGTAATTACTCACTTGATCAATTTGTTTTGAGAGACCTATTAACCAGCTTCAACATAGTTTAAAACAAAGGAAACGTTGAGGCGATGTCGAGACAAAGTTTAAAACAAAACAAAGACAACACGCGTTCAACTTACTCCTTTCAATATCTCACAACAATAATGAAAGAGTTTCTGCTTTTTACAAGTTTCTCGATCATCTTGAGACCTTTTGACCAGGGTTTTAATAAGGGATATGACACCCCAATTTTGTCTGGTATTGAAGTCATTTCCGCGCAAATGCAAATTATTCTTGTATGCAAAACTTAACACTCCTTCCCTCCCTGTGTTCGAGATAGAAGTTAACAGTTTACGAAAGCTAGTAAAAGATTTTGCTTGTCTTACATCAGTGGACAAAACAGAACAGAACAGTCCCTCTGTAGCAGAAGCTATTTCTATAGTAATTGGTTCGTGGCAAGGGAACAGCAAGATTGTTTTCAGAATCTCTAAGGTTATAAGAATTAAATGTGTCGCAGCGTAATATGAATTTTGAAGACATGTAATCAAGTGCAAGGCAATTCAAAGATTTATACACCATCACAGCCTTCTGAATTTGCCGCTGAGTTTCAGGGTTTTGCCACCCCAAGTCATTTTAAAGTATATTTACATCTGCATCATGTTTGGAGTTTGTGAGAACGCGTGCTGCACGTACCCCATACCACTCTGCAATATTCAAAATGTGATTGGACAAGGTTAACATACATCATGCAAGGCGGTAGGGGGCAAACAATGATTGATGCGTTTTATAGCTCCAATACCAGATGCAATTCTCTTAGACAAAGCGTCAACATGGTTTTCCCACATTAGATTTTCGTCAATAAGCACGCCAAGAGACTTAGAGCATTGAGAATGTTTGATTGGAACGTTATTTATATTCAAAGAAGGCAGAGAAGGTAGATTATTAAGTTTTTGCCTTGAGCCGGTTAACCCGAACTCAGTATTAGTCATATTTAGCGTTAGTTTATTTGTGGTAAGCCAGCGATTTATGTTGAGCAAGTCCTCGTTCAGGGAAGACTGAATGGAATGGATATTACCATACGAATAAGATGGGTATCACCAGCACACATTCTTGGCACAGAGTGAGACAGACAATTGGGCAAATCATTGATATATAGCAAAAACAGTAAAGGCCCTAATATTGTTTAATGGGGAATACCATACTTGAGGTGCAACATTCTGACAGCATTTTAGCATCCTTCTTTTGACTTTTAAACAAGGTATAGATTACCATCGTAATCGGCTTGCACTATTTGGAGCAGGTTACATCTATCTGCTCGAGGCTAGGAGATGACTTTGTTTACCATGAGTCAGAGAAAACGAGGAAGTGGAAGCATCCGTAAAATGTTCAAGATGGGCAGCTTTTACCTAATGATAGGAAAATTACAAAAATCCGACCGGATTTAGGCGACATTAGATTCTAAAATCACGAAAAGAAAAGCTTTAGAGACTACATACCCTTTGATAACCAAGTCATAAGAATTCCCCCGCCCCACTCTGTACAGTATGTTGCAATGCACTTTGTGAATCGTGTTAAATAGTCTTCTGTTCTTGCAGACGTGAATGAATGCCTACGAAATCCCTGCCAGCACATCTGTACAAATACATTCGGAAGTTATACCTGCCAATGCCATTCATGCTACACCAAACTTGAAACACGGTGTGACCTGAGACAATGCAAAATTAGTGGCTCGTGTTACGCTTATGGAGCAGTGAACCCGAGCAATAAGTGCCAGGTGAGAAAAAAAATACAATAGAGTTTAAGAATTGAGACACACGAGTCCGGTAATTGCTCATAGAACAACAGGTTTTTACTCAAATCACGTCGTTTGACCGAAATTGCACAGTGTGTTCGGAGCTTTTCACATTGCATCAATCTGCTAGTTCATCCAGTACTTTTAAATGAATCCATATCTCGCATCCTAATTTTCATTTAGATTAACAATTCATTTATAACCTCAAAAGCACAAATAAGGACGAGGTCCTGTACTCTTCAACAACTAAGAAGGGTCGAATCCAATACACAATTTTGATATCTGCCCCATTATGCATACCGATTTCACCTCAGCAGTATCAAAAATATATATATATCTAGATGGACGACATCAAAAATGTTCATTTTGATGAGGGCTTCAAGTGTCAACACTAGATAACATAGCAAAACCCAAAGCCAAACATTTGCAATAAGAAGCTGGTCTTTTTCTCGCACAAAAATATTATACACTGATTGTGATGGGTGTACCATCCAAACAATTTGTCCGCTAAATTAAAAAAGTTGTAATGTTGGTGAGGGAAACTATCTACTAAAAGTATATTGTTACTGCCGTCTAAACCTTTTGGTTCAAACCGAAAGGCTAATTAATTTAATTCGCTTGTGACAGGACTGTAACAGTGCCAACAAGATGGCCTGGACAAACAATGACGCATTACCTTGTAGTGACGGTGTGGCATGCACTAGGAACGACCGTTGTTCAGGTGGTGTTTGCTCTGGAACACCATTCACTTGCCTTCCGTGCGAAGAGTGCTACAACGACGCGTGTCGCGTTAAGCCCGGTTACTGCGTTATTCAGGATGGTGGAGTTAAGAAGTGTTTTACCCATGGCACCTTACGTCCAGGATATCAGTGCCAGGTACAAATCCCTGAATAGTTTTTTTGGGGGGCTACCTGTGGCACAGCCCAAATATAAAGAGAGCTTTTTTCGCCGAAAAACGAAAAATTTCGGATGGACCACCCAGAAGGCATTGCATGTCCTACCCCCTCTAACAGGGCCACCATTGTGACTTTTTGCGGGAGGTAATGGGTCATTTCAAGAGGGAAAATTGCAGCCAATTAGGAGTAATTAGGACTAGCTGTACACTCATAAGACCCAAAAACGAAGACCTAAGGCCTAAGACCCCGTGGACTAAAAGGAAGACCCTTGGACTAAAACGAAGACCCTCTGGACTAAGGCGAAGACCCCTAGACTAAAACGAAGACCCTCTGGACAAAAACGAAGACCCCATGAACTAAAACGAAGACCCTCTGGACTAAAACGAAGACCCCTGTGGATTAAACTCTTACGGCGATTTAGGAGTGTTGTGGAATTTCCTCTGGGCTATTTGATTGTGATAATGAAGTCTATCACTCACCTTTTCTTCAATCGACCGCGTGCTCTAGCGTTCTAAAATGTCGAACAATTGTATCGATCAATACAAGTACAAAACAAAATAACCGGCGTAGGAAGGAAATAACAACAAGACATTTAACATTGATGAATTCAAGGAGAGGGGAACCTCGCGCTCTTTTTATTACTTTTTACCTCATCAACAGAAAAATGCTGTCGATCCAGAACATCGCTCGAGTAAAGCTGTACATTTCGGGTTTCATGTAAGCAAGGTTTAATAGTATATATGCCGGGTTATATTTATAACCCTGTCTCTTTATTCTGACCTCTATTGTAAAAAAATGACTCATCTTTTACGGCTCAAACAGTTGTTATAATGATAACTGTAGTAAAAAATAAAAGAAAATAAAAGAAAAGGAAAAAAAAATACATCGGTTCTGCAAGATTCGATCCCGGGACAGTTACGTCGTATCTAAGACGTTACCACAAGGCATCGAAGGCTTTCTCGAAATAACAAAATGAAAAATTTTTATTTATACAAAACTGACGTCATCATCGCCGTAAACACATCCAAAGTGATTTAACACTCGAAATATGTTCAAAGAAACCTGTAAAGAGACGGATGGAGACACCTTTTGGAAGAAAAGGTAAGTGATAGACTTCACTATCACAATTAAATAGCGCAGAGAAAAATTCCACAATATTCCCAAATCAGCTCAAATCGCCGTAACAAATTACCGAAGAGGGCGTTGTCTTTCGCAAGAGTTCAAAATCTACATGGGTCTCCGTTTAGTCCAAAGGGTCTTCGTTTTAGTCCAAGGGGTCTTCGTTTTAGTTCATAGGGTCTTTGTTTTAGTCCAGGGGGTCTTCGTTTTAGTCCACGGGGTCTTAGGTTTAAGGTCTTCGTTTTCGGGTCTTCGTTTTGGAAACACCCAAGGTTAGCATGGATTGCTATCGCCGAATGGTCTACAGGCGGCCCAAGCTCACTACAGGAACCCGGACGTGACTCTTGCTTGCGAGCAGTGTTGTGTTACAAACGGTTATTTACATAGGCTTGTATGGGACGTAAACGGTTTTTCTTAAAAGAGAGAACAAATGTTATGTTTTTAAATAAAATCGATTAACCGTATTGCCTTGTTGTATTCTTTGTAGTTTGCCCGCGTCTCAGGCCGTTTTGAAGCGTTTTAGCGCTATTTTGGTCGCCGAAAACGCTTCAAAACGGCCTGAGACGCCGGTAAACAGCAAAGAATACAGTAAGGCAATAAGGTAAGTGGATTTTATTTAAAAACATAACATTTGTTCTCTCTTTTACGAAAAACCGGTTACATCCGATACAAGCCTTTGTAAATAACCGTTTGTAACACAACACCGCTCGCAAGCAAGAGTCACGTCAGCGTTCCTCTAGTGCGTTACGGTCGCCTGTGAATGGTCTCGCTATTGGGACACAGTGTCTTGCCCTTACGCTTCTCCGTTTATCACTCTTATTTGTTTATTTCATGGCTAAACCTGGAAAACAGCTAGTCACCTAGTTAGGTAGACTTTCGACTATTCATTTCAATTCTTCCGATTCATCAATGACTTGTCCACGTCGTTAAAGTCGTCGCTTTTTCTGGTAATTTAAGGAGCCTTCTCTGATTGAAAACTTGACTTTAAACCGTCTCTGTTAGTCTCCTGCACTAACTTACCTTACCGTTTTCTACCTTCTTAAATTAACATGTTCTCTTCCAGCAATGTGACAGCAACAACAAATATCAGTGGACCAACAACAACAATCTTAAATGCAGTGACAACAACTTAAAGACCAAAGATGACCGATGTATCAGTGGAGCGTGCGTGGGCACCCCGTACAACTGCCTTCCGTGCGAGACACATGACGGACGGGGCTGTCCAATCAACCCAGGACACTGTATTATACAAAATGGCAACCAAAGGACTTGCTACGCTAAGAATCATTACAAACCAGGAAACCCTTGTCAGGTAGAAAGATAATACTTTCGTATTGTACTTGGTATCCTATTGTATTTAATCTGTGAGAAGGTAAATACTGTTAGAGCGATTCAATGAAGCCCTCTGAGGTAAGAATAAGTTTATAACAGATTAATTCAGTCTGTAAAAAAATACAAGCAACCACGATTGAAAACACATGATACACCAATTCAACCCAAGGAGGGCTGCGTGGCCTCAAATCTGATAAGTAATTTAAACTCGCAAGAATAGTGCAGGGGAAAAGAAAAACAGTGTCGTTGTTGAAATGGCAACGACGCTGATTCTCTTTTCTTTTGATCCAGAGATAGTTGAGCATTTCCATTCCCTTAGTGTTGCAAAAGATGTATGCAAGCGCCATCACTTTTCTCGGCAATAAATACCCAGTACACGGAATATGCTTCAAAAATCCGTGATTCAGAATTCAACCTGCTATAGCAGACGCCATTCTCCTGACACTTGTCACCGTCCTAACGTCACTTACTTTGGAAACAAACACCACAGTTATTTAACTAACTACAAGTCTGATAACTTCTGGTTTCCATCTAATTTTAAGTGGTGTAATCCAAGCAGCAGCACGAGCACCTGGACAAATCGCGAAGGCGTGGCATGTGATGATGGTGACAAGTGCACACGTGATGACACGTGTCGCAGTGGCCAATGCAGTGCCACCCCATTCACGTGTAATTCCGGGTGCCAATACTGCAATGGCTATACCTGCAGTCTGAAAACAGGATTTGGATTCGTAAACAACAAGTGTATGTGCAAGATAGCGGGTGTGTAAATGAATTTATGCAGCAAACTCTTACTATCCAGGCATTTTCTTGGGGCACTAGGACTATATTGCAAGGGGTCATAGGGGACCTGCACTTAATCTAAATGAGATGATAACCACTCACAGGAAATCTCACAGAGCGCTCGCTCGCAGGTTAATTTACAGCCGATTTGCAAGAGATAATTCAGCTGGTAACAACAAGGACAAAAACAGGACGGATCATGAACATAATTAGAGTTAACGTATCTTAAGAAGCAATCCCAGAGCCTTCTAGGTTCTTGACACAGGTTTTATTAAGCACGTAGCGGGCTGAGGACAAAAAAATGGTGGGAATGGGGTTTCCGTTCCTGTATTGATGTTGGATACACTTTGAATTTAAAGTTTGAGATTTAACTTCCGACAATAAGATTTACAAGGTGGATCAATTTAGGTTCCTGGGAAACTGCCCACCTACCCCTCCCCTAAAAAAACATTTTACTCTGAACGAGAAGTGTTAATGCTGGCTTAGGGGAGGCGTAGGTGGGCAGTTTCCCACAAACCTAAATATTTATTGATCCTACTACGTAAAGGCGACATGATTACCAAATACAACACACTCTTTTCTTCACACCTGGTAGGTCAAGACTATGGACACCAGACCTTAAATCCGTCAAACCCGTGTCAGTGGTGTGTCCTGGACGACCCAACAGCTCGTGCTAACAGTGCCTGGTCAAACCGTCCTCCTGTAGCTTGTGACGATCAAGATTCATGCACCAAGCAGGACACTTGTAATGCCGGCAGGTGCTGTTAAAAGTCATTTTACTAGAAAAAAATTACAGGGAAATCGTTTTATTTAGAGGTCGATTTATTTGGTGAAAAATCATTGGTCGGAAACCGCAAACTCAAGACTCTAGAACAAGACTTGAAATGTTCACTAGAGAACTAATTGTCCAATCTAATTAGAAAAATCAGTGAGAACAAATTACTGGAATACTGTACTCTCTTACCTTTCTCCATACGGTTAAACCAGTAACCTCACAACACGTTCACGTCACCTCTTTGCAGGCCCAATAGATGCCGACTCCGAATCTTTCCAAGGTATCCTATTAAGGAAATGCGGCCGTAAGCAGATCTTAAAACTGATATACAAACCTTTAAACGATATATTTACTGAAAACATGGAACGAGCTCTTTTTATATCAGGACCATTGCCAAACTGTTTTTTCCTTCCATTTCCTTTTGAATTTATTTTGAACAAATACATGTGGACTGTTCTATCCTCTTTTAACTCTGTTTTATCTTACACTGAACAGTGGCGGACCCAGGGGAGGGGCCCGGGGGGCGCCCCCTTATTTGTAGACCAAACGGAGGCCCGAAGGGCCGAAAAGGATTTTTAGACCGACTCCCCCGCGCTCCTATCTCAGGGTCTGGATGATCGTTCCCTCACCTTATCTGAAGGTCTGGATTCGCCACTGCTGAAGCATGTGCATTGTATGTAAGCCAGTTAGATTCCAGGCTTTCTAACACATAAAATAAACAGCAATACAAGAAAATAATTCTTTAGGACGTTAAACTACAATCACAACAAACGTTCACCCTATATTCACTCGGTTAATCCGAGGCGCAGGATTGGAGGGGGAATTGGGAGGGCCTAGTATGCCCACACGGGACATGAAACCGTGGATACGGATATGAAATCGTATTAACCTTGAATAGCGGGATTGATTGAAATGGGAGTTACCTTTGAACCGCCTTTTTGGAGTTAAATTATTTTAAACTTTGGACAAAATTTAGGTTAATTAATGGTGCCTGGAAAGTGCCAAATGTTATGAGCAGCTGTTTCAATCATGACTCCGTAAAAAATATGGTCACGGCAGGGCGAGCGCGTCCTTCCAACCAATCCTGTGAAGTAAGATTTAAGGAATTGTGGTACTTTCATCAGGTGTGTAGGCCAACCATACTCTTGTCAGTCATCTCACCCGTCTTCAAGTTGTATCAAGACTTCCCAGTGTGTTGGTGATGGAACGTGCAGAGACATTATGAGAGCAACAGGGACCATTTGCCGACCTCCTGTCGACGTTTGTGACCGGCCTGAAAGGTAATGAACGATGAGGAGGACGATTCTGTAGTAAACAAACAAGTCCTCGTTTGTGTACGAAAACTATATATATAACTATGATATATTATGTGCCCTGGATCATTGCACCCTTTTTCTCAAATGGACAGTAAAAATTCAAATATATCTGAAACCATTTGGAAAAAAATATTCTTAGATGTCAAGTGAATGGTAACGATTCAGTGTTAACAGGCCGGTTACGTTTGGATTGGTATCCATAAACTCTGAAACGGCCGCTCTTTTTTCGGTAGTCGAGGGGGGAGAGAAAATCACGCTTACGATACAGTAAAAACCTGCATAAAAGAACGAGTGAACACTCAGGCTGAACGTTGGTCAAAAAAGTACCATATACATATGAACACATTCAGCCTGAAAAATGAAAATTGATCTTACATAAAAAAAAAAGTGGCTGCCAGTTAGATTAGAATAACCTACTAGGGTAATAGTTACATGGAAGGAGGGAGAAGGAGCTGGTGCATTTTGAATTTGCAAGACTTTTCCTGAGTTTCGAGTTGTGTATCACCAGAACTGCTACCCCCCCTCCCCCCCAATGTAACATTATTGCCTTGATTAATGCAGTTAAGGTTAGTTCCATCCATCCGTCAATTAATTAAAATGGTTTGCTTGCACATTGATTTCATCTGTTGGTAGTCTATGCAGTATTTAGAAACAATTTTAAGAACACCTTAGGAACATTTCAGGCTGATTTTGCGGAAACGCCCAATATATAAGGACAAAATCAGCCTTAACCCCCAAAACACGGTTTGTTTTATATGGGTTTTTACTGTATAAGGTGCTACTCCTTCACATAATAGTACAGATCATCATTTTTCTATAAGCTCTTCGAAATTTCTGATCACCTTTTTCTTCCCTAATGCGAAGGGATCGGGAAAAAAGGGGTCGTATGATATGGAAGACGCTAGCAACACGGTCCCCATTTATTATCTAGGTGTGATGGTAACCTTGGGACATGTCCCGGAGCAGTGCAAGACAGGATTAACATAAGAACTGGCACAGCCAAATTTATGGATAGCACATTTCAGTCAGTTGTTAGCTATCAGCACCTCACGGACAAACTCTACCTTCGTGTCTCTGGCTTTTCTGTCTCCTGTGGCCATTTGACGTTCAGATGGTTTTTGCTATCTGCATCTTCCGCCTGCAACACTGCATCACCATTGAACGGGACATTTCCTAACAGTAACTCGCAGCAAACTATTACAGGTAGGTAGATGTCATTTTTCTAAAATAAAACACTGCTCAGTAATGAATACACCAGTGTCAATCATGGAACGTGTCTGTGGGGTCACTAAAAACTAATCAATGGCTGCTCAATGGAAATGCTTTGTTTAATGTTCGTAGTTAAATCAGTTAAATGTAACACAATTACATCAGAGGACGTCTTAAAGATTGTAGGCCGGACCACCCTTTTAGCATAAAAAAATGGGAAATACCGCGCAACACAAAAACCGGACGTTTCGAGGTTGCTCCCTCTTCCTCAGTGATTTTTCCGTGCCCTTTCATGCACATTTTGATAAACTTTGTGAAAATCTCTACCCTTTTAGGCTGACTTCCCTCTCACGTTTTGTTTGTAAAATGTATTTGGAGGTCACCCCTTCGCGATTGATACACGACTTGCAGGTGCTTTCGCAGTGAGGCTTTTTACAAGGAGGAAAGGGAGCTTAAAGTTGTCTGAAATTAGTCACTCAGGAAAGCTTAAGTTAAAAGGCATGCTTATGTCACGTGTACATTTGACAAAATTTACTGACTTTCAGCAGGGGCCAGACATGTTTTCATAGTTAACGTTCATAGGAGCACGAGAACACTTCTGCACCCTAACAGAGTAGCCCGTAAGTCGTAATATAAGGAACAGAGGGAGGGGGCTCCGGAACCCTCAAAGTACCAAGGGTACGTTCCCTTACTTGCACAGAACCCAAGAGTCTTCCAAAGCGTGTCTGCTCATGAATTGTGTAAGACTTGTCAGAGGTCCATTTGCAACTTCTCGCTTCGGAAAAGGAAGCAAGTTAGCTTTTTTACTTTTAAGCAACTGTCTGGTTAGCCCGAATTTCATCCGATTACTTCGAGTCGTTATTACTCCCTCAGTAATAACGACTCGAAGTAATCGGATGAAATTCAGGCTACTGTCTGGTTACTGTTGATCCAGTTTTTCCACTGACGGTAGCGGAAATGGAAGCTTTGNAAAACTAATCAATGGCTGCTCAATGGAAATGCTTTGTTTAATGTTCGTAGTTAAATCAGTTAAATGTAACACAATTACATCAGAGGACGTCTTAAAGATTGTAGGCCGGACCACCCTTTTAGCATAAAAAAATGGGAAATACCGCGCAACACAAAAACCGGACGTTTCGAGGTTGCTCCCTCTTCCTCAGTGATTTTTCCGTGCCCTTTCATGCACATTTTGATAAACTTTGTGAAAATCTCTACCCTTTTAGGCTGACTTCCCTCTCACGTTTTGTTTGTAAAATGTATTTGGAGGTCACCCCTTCGCGATTGATACACGACTTGCAGGTGCTTTCGCAGTGAGGCTTTTTACAAGGAGGAAAGGGAGCTTAAAGTTGTCTGAAATTAGTCACTCAGGAAAGCTTAAGTTAAAAGGCATGCTTATGTCACGTGTACATTTGACAAAATTTACTGACTTTCAGCAGGGGCCAGACATGTTTTCATAGTTAACGTTCATAGGAGCACGAGAACACTTCTGCACCCTAACAGAGTAGCCCGTAAGTCGTAATATAAGGAACAGAGGGAGGGGGCTCCGGAACCCTCAAAGTACCAAGGGTACGTTCCCTTACTTGCACAGAACCCAAGAGTCTTCCAAAGCGTGTCTGCTCATGAATTGTGTAAGACTTGTCAGAGGTCCATTTGCAACTTCTCGCTTCGGAAAAGGAAGCAAGTTAGCTTTTTTACTTTTAAGCAACTGTCTGGTTAGCCCGAATTTCATCCGATTACTTCGAGTCGTTATTACTCCCTCAGTAATAACGACTCGAAGTAATCGGATGAAATTCAGGCTACTGTCTGGTTACTGTTGATCCAGTTTTTCCACTGACGGTAGCGGAAATGGAAGCTTTGCTTGCTTTGGATAACAGCTAGTGTTATGAAAAGTCCATGAGGCACTGAAGTGCAAACTATAGTAGTATAGACCTACATAGTCGAGTGGCATTTCTGCATCATCACCTTCTTTCTAAAGCTACTCCAAAATTGCCCTGTAACTTTTCACTCCATTTTCATATGGCGAAACCCGAACATGTTCCTGGGGGCTTTGAGTCCGAAAAGGCGAGAACAAGTCAAATCAGCCAGATATAAAATGATAGATACAAAAAATTTAGATATTTCTAGATACGAGGCCCCAGTTGTTCAAACGTTGGATAGCACTACCCACCGTATAAATCACTATCCAGAGGATAAGTATTACGGAAATCAATTACGCTATCCGCTGGATAGAGATTTATCCGATGGATAACGCTATCCAACGTTTGAACAACCAGGGCCAGTTCTTTAAACGTTTAATTAACAGACGGTTTTAGGGGTCCTGTTGTTTAAACAGACCGCCTTACATTGTTTGGACGTGAGACACCTCTGAAATTTTCGGTGTTCTTAAGTCGAATGAATCCAGGCCCCAGTTGTTCAAAAGGTGGATAACGCTATCCCCCCGGATAAATCATTATCCACTGGATAGTGCAGTTGGTTTCCCTAACACTTATCCGTTAGATAGCGCTATCCAACTTTCGAACAACTGGGGCCAGAACTCATTTGTTTGCTCATATTTGTTTTCACGTGTTTATAGCTTATCACATGCATGAAACTTTTACAGGGCTTATTCTCCAGGATACCAACAGCTATAAAGTTTCCATACAAGCTTCGGATATAAGAAACAACGTACCTCAACTTGTTTGTAGTGGTGTGGTCGTCATTGATACCTCGAAGCCACAAGATGGTTGGATTCGCGATGGGTCTGGAGCTGACCTTAGTTACCAAGACACCAAATTATTGCAAGTAAACTGGGGTGGAGTAAAAACAAGATACGGTGTAAGAAAGTACGACTGGAAAGTTCTCATAACCCCTTTTGACACAAATCAGACCACCGAGCCTATGCCATTTACGACTGTTCATCAGAACACTAGCGCACAAAAATTATTTAACAGCATCACAGACGGCTCAAAAGTGAAATTCGTTGTTCGAGCTTACACCAAAGCGGGCCTGTTTTCAGACCTCACAAGTGACGGGGTTGTCATCGACACATCACCACCTATTGCAGGAAAGGTCTATGATGGTAATCAGGTCGGCTTTGATTTGAAATTCGCTAAATGGGCAAAAACGTTCAGCGCAAACTGGGACATCTTTACTGATTCTCATTCTCCCATTTCACGATACACTTGGGCGGTAGAGCGGGTAGGCACCGGATTAATCACGTCATTTAAGGCCACAGACCTTAACCGCATTAGTACAGCAACTAACCTTAATTTAGTTTCTGGTGAGAGCTACTGCGCAGTTGTCACAGGTTATAACGAGGCTGGTCTTCCCACCACAGTCAAATCAGACTGTGTGTTGATAGACCACGAAGTACCGCTAGCTGGTACTGTAAATGATGGACACGTCCATGATGTAGACTACCAATCAGAAGACACCATGATAGCAGCTAATTGGAATGGTTTCAGTGATGGAAGTAAAGGGAGTGGAATTGTGGAGTACAGATACAAAGTCACAGAAGACGGTGGAGGTATAATTGTTCCCTGGACACCTGCTGGCAATGCCACTAACATAACGCTTAACGGGTTGGTTCTTAAGAATAACACAAAATACTTCGTTACCGTGAAAGCAGTCGATGCAGTGGGACTTAGCACTGACATTACTACGGATGGTGTTACTGTAGACACAACACATCCTGTGTTCACAGGAAAAGTGGTCGTTACAGGGGTAAATGACGTTAAAAATGGAACATCGTGTGTTTACATTTCAAGTATATCATCAGTAAAAGTACAGTGGATTGGTTTCTCAGACGCACACAGCGGACTTCAGCGATATGAATGGGCAATCATCCCCGCCGACAAGTCACTGTCAAACTCTGACTTGACAGAAGTTTCTGGGTCCAATCTGCCTACATCTGCAACATTTCACAATCTAGCACTTATTCAAGGAAAAGAATATTATGTCATTATGAGAGCCTACAATAGAGCTGAGTTATATAAAGACGCGTACTCAGTCCTGGTGATACCTGACTCCACCCCTCCATCACCTGGAGAAGTGTTCGACGGACCAACATACAAGGTGGATATCGACTATCAAGCTGAGATTCATCATGTTTATGGGTCTTGGGAAAATTTCCCCGAGCCTCATACTGCAGTCAAGCAGTACCACTATGCGGTGGGAAGTTGTATCACTGGAAACTACCACGTCACAGAAAATGCATTCGTCAAGCTAGATCCTCCAACGGCCACTTCTTTTGTGCTATCCAACGTCACACTTGTTAATGGTCAGCGATACTGCGTGAAAATCAAGGCTGAAAACAAAGCTGGTTTGTTTAGTAACGAGGTATCCTCGGATGGCTTTGTCGCCGATGTCACACCACCGGATACGCGAAACGCCCAGGTGCGAGACGGAATGACAGGTTCGGACATCGACTTTCAAGACAACACCACAGCATTATCAGCACAGTGGGACGGTTTTGCGGACCGTGAATCTGGAATTCATTATTACGAATACGGAATAGGCAAAAGTCGTGGCAGAAATGCCGATGTTTTTTCTTTCAAGAATATAGGCCTTAACACTTCAGCTACTGCGGGTGGCCTATCATTAAGTGATGATGTCTATTACTTCATCGTCTGCGCCGTAAACAAGGCCGGGCTGCGCCAGTGCCTCAGCTCAGATGGCGTTCTCATAGATTTCAGCCCTCCGAGCCTTGGGGTGGTGCACGACGGGATTATTGAACCCGATCTGAAATACCAGTCCTCTTTGTCAAGTATGGCTGCTAACTGGGAAGGAATCTGGGACTTGGAAAGTGGAATCGAAAAATTTGAGTGGAGCATTGGAACCAGTACAAATGACAAGACCAGTGTTCAAGGCTACACTGATGCTGGACTCTCAACCCACGTCAGAAGTAAAGCTGTTCTTAATCTATCGAGTGGAACAAAATATTACGTTCATCTAAAAGTCACGAATCAGGCAGGAGCTGTTAGAGAACTTGTTTCAGATGGCGTAATAGCAGATGGGACACCTCCAAATCCAAGCGTAATCTACCCAGGTTTTGGGTCGCAAGGCGAATGGATACACAACGACCAAGAAAGTTCCTTCTACTCTGCTTCAGCATCAAGTATTGCAGCTTACTGGACCCGATTCGCCGAACCTGAAAGTGAGGTATGGTACTACAAGTGGGCCATTGGTACAAGCAAATGTGGCACTCAAGTGCAGTCACTTGTTAACATCGGACGGTTAAACTACGCCAATACGACAACGACTGATCTGGTCTTTAGATCCGGTATTAAATATTACGTTACGGTAACATCAAGAAATCGGGCTGGTCTTGTGTCACGGTCATGCTCAGATGCCCTGGTCTTTGACAGCACTCCACCACGTGCAGGAGAAGTTTACGTTGGACAGTCTTCAAACAGCCACATAACGAAAACCTTCCATGACAGAAAGGGTATTATTATTTCATGGAAAGAATTTAGAGACCGCGAAAGTGGCATAAGCAAATGTAATATCTCTGTAGAGAATCAAGTGGGTGACGTTCTGTTCTTCCACAGTAGCAATGAAACTTTAGGTAATATCTCTCTTCCTCACCATGTCCACCTTTCTCATGGTCAAAGCTACAATGCAACTGTCGAGTGTACAAACCACGCAGGCCTTACTTCCTCTTCATCTACCACTTTCGTAATCGACGACACACCTCCCATTCAGAACGGTCCCATCATAGCCGGTGTTTCACATGATCAACATTATCAATATCAGTCGGACAAAACCTCTGTAACCGCCACTTGGCCTCCATTTACAGACCCAGAAAGTGATATCAGGAATTATCAATTCGCCATGGGAACTCGACCAAGCCTAGACGACATTATTAGCTTTGAAGACGTTCATCTCGCAACTCGAGTAAATAAAAATGGCCTAAGTCTTCTTCAGGGAGCTGTCTACCACATAACAGTGATAGCAACGAACTTTGCAGGTTCAAGTACAAATGTATCATCGCTTGCACTGAGGATAGACACTACACCTCCCCTGGGTGTCAATGGCTGCGTCCATGATGGACCAAGTGGTAACGATATAGACTTTTTTTCTCCTAATATAGACCTTGCAGCGCATTGGGAGGAGATTAATGATGCTGAAAGTAGTATCGTAGAAAGCAAGTACTGTATTGGAACAAAGCCTCGCGGTTGCCAGATTCAAGCAACCAGAAGTGTTCAAGGGAATAAATCATTCATCTGCCCGACATGCAAAGCGAATCCAGGAGAACGAGTTTTTGTTACAGTAACAGCCACAAATGGAGCGGGCCTGTCAGTGACTCGCAGCTCCAATGGAATGGTATTAGATGTTACTGCTCCTCGTATGGGCTCCGTTATTGACGGAAGTCATGTAACAGGCGTTGACTACAATGTCGTTCTTGAAGAGTGGAATGTCTCCATGTCTTGGTTTGGTGTGGAGGATCCTGAAAGTGGTGTAAAATCGTGCTTATGGCGAGTACAGGACGCAGATGGTTACACAGTGCTTGAAAATGAGATAAGTAATAATACAGTCTACGGACAAAAGAAAGTCTTTACTCGCCCTCAGACATACCTTGAACTAAACTTTCTAAAAAACGTCACTTACTATAATGTAATAACTTGTTGGAGCAAAGCAAAACTGCACAGCACAGCTCGTTCAAATGGGTTTCGGATGGAATCTGTCTGGCCTGTTCCGGCATCCGTCAGAAATGGCAAAAAACAAGGTGTTAATCTCATCTATACAACGAGCACTAGAATTATTGGTGCCAACTGGGATCCTTTTACAAGCGACATGACGGACCCAGTTGTTGACTACGAGTGGGCCGTTGGCACGGCTGTCGGTAGAAACGATATCCTACGTTTTACTAGTGTAGGCCTCAAGACGAGCATTGAAAGAGACTTGGCACCCAACGCACCAGGAGTTGACGTTTTGGTTGCTGGTCAGAAGCATTACATCACTATAAAAGCTACGTCTGCTGCCGGCTTGACAAGTATTGCGAGTTCAAGTGGGTTTATTGTAGATCCGAGCCCTCCAGTGAAGGCAGAGGTAATCACTAGTCACGTGGTGACTGACCAAAAACAGCGCATTGTCGAAATTCATGTTTCTTGGGATGGCACGCAGGACTACGAAAGTGGCATTGAAAGCAGCGATTACTGCTTAGGAACCACGCCCCTTACATGTGTAGACGTTGCTACAAGTGTAGGACCGTCCACAACCGGGACCATTGGCCCGTTCAAGCCTGAACTTCAAGCAGGTTATTACGTCACTGTAATTGTTGCAAACAGAGCTGGCCTTACATCTGTCATGTCTTCCAAGAAGCTAAACTTTGACTCAACGTCTCCAACCCAAGGGACCGTAGTTGACGGACTGGGCCAAGACATTGATTTCACGGATTCCATGAATTCTCTTTCGGTTCAGTGGGAAGGCTTTGAAGACGAGGAGACTGGCATTGCTAGCTGTTCATGGTCACTAATAGAACAATCTGCTTCTGACAACAGTTCTGCGTTTGGAAATGACACTGTCGTGTTAACAGAGTCTGTGCCAAGCAGAGGTAACCTCACTCGAGTAAATCTCAATCTTGTCCCAGGCGCTCGCTATGTTAGCAAGATAACTTGCTCGAATGGTGATGGTTTCAACTCCACGTCCTACTCTGATGGGATCGTTGTTGACGTCACGGCAGCTAGTTCTGGTCTAGTACACGATGGATCGTCTCTTACAATTGATATGCAGTATCAATCCTCATCATCAGAGGTAGAGGCAATATGGGAACCTTTCAAGGATCAAGAAAGTGGTGTAGTGAATTATCGCTGGAGCATAGGCACTTCACCAGACAGAACTGACATTCTAAACTTCACAGACGTTGATATTAAAACCTATGCCAAAACATCAAACCTTACTCTCACTCACAGTCAGCGATATTACGTGACTGTTGAGGCCACAAATGGTGCTGGAATAACTTCTCATGGATGGTCTGATGGCTTCCTCGTGGACATTTCCCCGCCTCTTTTAACAGAGGTAAGCCCTCGCAACTCTTCAGAACCAATCACAACTAATCGTAATTTAAATCCCAATTCAACTTAAATTAAAAGCAGTTTTATCAAAGAAACAAACATTACCTTGAAGTAGCAGATTTATTAAAACAGTGCACAAGCGAAACAATCCTCACACTAGGGGAACTGTTTACATGTTTTCAGACCAAGAAGTGCACAGAAGTTTTTTTTTTTTGCATTGTTGCTCAAAAATGGCTTGAATTTCTGGGGTGACTATTAGTGTTTTTGGCCATGAAGAATGTAGAGCTACTCTGTAGAAAAGCCATTATTAATAATAAAAGTAACAATAATAATAATATTAACAATATGTTTATTATTATTATTTTTCTTCTTCTTCTTCTTCTTCTTATTATTATTATTATCATTATTATTATCGTTAGTCCTAGTGGTAGAAGTAGTAGTATCGAATTAATCTAAGGAACAAATTAACACCTACTGAAGAGAAGAGCTTTCTCGCTTAAAATTTTATTGGACAAAAAAGTCGTAGAGAAAACCTTCAAGTGGTTGCATCCACCCCCTCGTTCTTCTGAGAGGTCAGAGCAATTGTGTTTTTCTAATTTTCAGCTTTCAAGTAGCTCAAATGTGTGGCTCGGCCCAAAGGACAGCCTTAGCGCCTCGTGGAAATCAAGCGATCCCGAGAGTGACGTTATAAAAACTGAATTCTGCGTGGGATCGATTTCCATTGGTTGCCAGATTAAATCTATGACTGAGCTACCACCAAACGCCACCAATGTCTCTTGCGATGACTGTCAGTTAACCCACCTTGGATCATACTACGTCACAATCCGAGTGACCAACGGGGCCGGTTTGTTTACAGTAGCAGCAACGAATGAAATAAAAGTGGACTTAACAGCACCAGTGGTCGGTGACATAGTTCACATGACGGATGTCACGCCGTGCGTGAACAACTGTACCTTAACAGCAAACATCTCGTCATTCCTCGACAACGAAAGTGGTATCAAGTTATGCCGTTATGCGATACGAAACAGCAGTCACCTTTTGGGAGACTTTGTGAACAACGGATTGGACAAAACTTTGAGAGCGGTGGGTCTGCAGTTACAGACTGGTGAAAGGTACTACTTTGTTGCTAGGTGCGAAAATACCGTTGGACTTGTCACGGAAAAGACGTCTATTGTGCCAATACTTGTTGACAACACACCTCCAAAGAAGGTAAATGAATTCATTCAGAGAACTCATAGTCTTAAAGCTGTTGCTGTTGTTTGATGTGCTACTAATCCTAAGCGTTCCTCCTTTGATGAATCTTATTCCCTCACCAGATCTCACCGGTATGTGATACGAGTTAAAGTTTGTTGAAAGATGTCCATAGGCAAGTAACCAGGGGCACCCGACGATAGTTTCCTCCTACATACATTAAAAACATTTTTTTGGCTATCCAGAGTACTTTTAGATCTCTAGAAATGCACTCTTAAGCGGCGCTATGAAATTTTTATCTGTTCGGTCATCGTAGGGGAACTTGAGTCTTTTCGAAATTACAAGGGCTTCAGTTTATTTTCCCGAAAATTTTAGATGCAATTTAACGTACTACGAAAGTGATAATTTTTCTGATTCCTCTCTCCATCACATTTTTGAATCCGAAAATTTTAGGCTTCCTTTTTTTCACGAAAAATAGCCTAACCTTGGGGGGTGAAATGTGAAAAATTAAACTTTCGAAAATCGTAGGGAATTTATTAAATAAGCTTCGAAAGTTGTACAAGAATAGAACGGTCACTGGAAATTTTTAGCCGTCCTCAGGTAATAGAAAATTCTAGGCAATGTTTGCTTCTCCGAACAGATATTTTAAAGAAAACAGTCGTTGGGTGCCCCTGGGTAACGCATTCGCAAATCCAAAGATTTATTCTCTGTTTAACCTACCCAAGCAACAAATATAGCCTTTAGCCTTTCCTGAAAAACTGGGTTTCATCACCCGTGTTCTGTAACGACAACAAGTCAACACCTCTATGAAGCATGATGCTTATAATTAGAGTATGGGGATATAGCCGGAGATATAGCCTTAAAGGGCAAATGAATGGCAGCTTGCAAGCAACCTCGTTCCCAGGGTTCTTTCCTAACCGTCCCTGCAGGGACTGATAGGAGAGGACCCCAGGGCGAGGTTGGCTTGTAAATAGTTGCGCCATCAAAAGTGTGACTGGTTGAGGCTTCTGACAATGAAGGGCTTTCCACTTTTGGTCTCGGTGAAAGAAGAACCATCACCTGCAAGCACACGTATGCTGACATCTGAATATCAAATTCTTTTTTTTCAGGGTTCAGTTATAGTGAGCGCAGACCGAACGCATGACGTGTTTGGTATTCACTCAAGCTGCCACTTATTTAACAGAACATTGCGGGCTCACTGGTTTGGTTTCAATGACGACGACTCAGGCATCAGCGGCTTTCGCGTAGCAGTAGGAAAGAAACCAAATGCAGTGGACGTTTTGCCGTTTCATGACGTTGGCATGACAACAAATATCACCCTACCCTTGAATAATACAAGTGGGCTGTTTGATGGGGACATCGTGTACGTAACAGTAGAGTCAAGCAATCGAGCTGGTCTAACAACTTACAGCAGTTCGCCCCCTACAAGGCTGATTTCAGCAGACAGTGATGCTTATACATCTGAAGGAGACTTTTACTGCTATAATGTTTAATAACTAACTCCATTGCTATGAATATAATAAATCACCAAGCCACAAAAATAGAGCTAGGCCCAGTCTCCCGCTGCATGTGGCTAATTATGCACACGCGACGTTTAGTTACGTTAAGAACGCAATGTAGCTAGGCCGGCCTTAAGGACATAATGCACCTATCAATGTAAATCCCGTGAGGGGGGAGTGCGGGCAAGGGGATTTGATGCCTGAGACTATCCCCCTGTCGGGCTTTTGATCATGCGAAGCGACCCCGGGGTCGGGACATTTGACTTTGACCGACAGAAGCCTGGTATCAATTCAGAAGCGGTTACTAAGTCCGTCCCTTGAGGCTTTCTGAAAGTCACTGTTGAAGAAAGGTATGAAGTTTTCGTTTGTTTTAATCACCATAATCCGATACTTTAAACTGTCATCTGAACAGATAATGTCTATTTTGAGAAAGGTTTTATCTTCAAGTTCCCATCTGATTGTAAAACTCGATGGAAATCGAATTTCACCATGAAAGTCAGAGGATTTTTTACGGGTCACTGATCCGACCTGTTCCGACATGTTGAGCAGATGTTATAAAGCATTCTACTTTTCATTAATATTATAATAGCACAGTCAATCTTCCTGGAGTGATTTTGTTGTTCAAAATAGGAAATGATAGTGGAGAGAGAAAATACTTAATTACAGCGAGTAATTTAACGGAGCTTACGTTAACCATAAATAAAAGTAGTAAGAACGAACTTTTGAAATATTATTTTAATTTGTTTTATGTAGTGTTATAGTTTGTTTAGATTTTTTCCCCTGGGGTGGGGGCTTTTTTCACACTTTTGATCGACCTTTCGTTTCCCACCCTGGGGAATTTGATCCAAAAATTTCAAAATTTGTCAAATCCCCACCTCTTGCCCGCACTCCCCCCCGCCCCCCCACGGGGTTTACATTGATAGGTACATAAGCCAGAACGAGTTAGAGGGGACTAATGGGGGGCACGCAGTGCAACATACCTAAATATCTTTTTAGGAAAATCTACAAACATTGCAAAGATTCAGAAAAACGTCACTTTTGCTTGTCATAGTTTAGCACCTTTTGTCCTAGGACCTCTTGAGGTCAGCGGATGTTAGCTTGGAGCATGAAAAAATAACACGTAATAAAACAACAAAAATCAATGAATGAATAAGTAATAAACAAACAAATTAATTCAAGAATACAAGCTTTCTGGAAGTCGTCAATAAATCCTTCTAAAAATGATGTAAAATTTTGTGGTGGGTAAACCGTTGTTGTTGTTTGGGGTCCTTTCATAGACTTACAATTTTTTTGCGAACTTGACGGGGAAGTAGTGTACTTTCGACGTTTTCTCTACCGAACTTGGGTTTATTGAAGGATTTTTTAATTTCGATAGAAATCTAATTGCATTTTTACATGAGTTTCTCGCCCACTAAAATTTATACTAAGGAGTTTCCTAACGTTTGTCCGTGGAAAATTGGAGACATATAAGGACTCTTTAGAAAAGGGTTGGTCTAGTCAAGGCAAAAAAGAGGCAACTCTTTGTCATCTCCTGACCATGCGCGTGCGTAAAGCGTAGAGTACGGTAATTCTTACTCTTTTACTATACCGGTTACGTTACTTACATAAAGAACGTCGACGGGCAGCAAAAGGGTTACTTATAAAGTGATCTCGCTTTCTTTTAATTTTTTATCACCACTTTTCCAACTCAATCAGTCTCTATCGAATGTAACCTAATTTTCCTGGAATTTAATTATGAATTGAACCTAAGTTCAGAAAGAAAGAAAAAAAAACTGAACGTCTTGCCATATTTACGTCCTCCATTAAACGTCAGGAATTTTTAAGTCGCTATAGTTGAGCAATGACGACAAAGAAATGAACTAAAGAGTGTGACAAATACGCAAAATTATTGTTATGCCTGTTGAAACCTATTGCTTTGATGACGATCGCGTTTCTGTGATGTGCGCATGTGTGGCCTTGTATTTTTCACTTCTATGTAACGCCTCCAGACTTCTTGCCTCGACTTAGGGCCTGTTTACATGAAGGTGGGGGACCCAAGAGAGGTGAGGTAACATGTGGCGGGTTACCCCACCTAACATGTAAACGTGAACACATTAAAATGAGAGATTGTATGGACAGGCGGGTTACCCCACCTAAGCGGGTTACCTCACCTACCTGGGGTCCCCCACCTCCATGTAAACAGGCCCTTACTTTTGATAAATGTAGGCGCGTGTAAATGCATAAAACCATCATTGGGAAAACGTTTTTGTTGTTGCTGTTATTATGAAATAAATTAAGATAGTTACGTAGCAGAAATATTACAAGTGTTGTATAGGAATTTTAGCGATCGTTATTTAGGCCCGGAGGTACACATAAAAATTTTCACCGGGAGGCTCCGCTCGGAAGTCCGACCCCATACCCTTTTATACACCATTTTTGACAGAAAAGGAACCCTATACCTAATCTCTTGACAAATGGTACCCCGTAGTTTAGACATATGAGGGAAAAAACAAAACAAAACAAAACCGGAACTATTTCTCGAATTTTTCACAGCCATAAAATACCCCTTTTAGCCCTTTTTAGTCTTTTAACAGACCGAAAACACAGATTTCCCTACCCTTTCATGTACATCAACTAATGAAATCCTTACCCTTTCAGAAACCTGAAGCTTGAAAAAGATACCCCTTCTCTGGCGGAGCCTCCCCGTACGGGCTATTATAAGGAGTACCCCTCAGGGATTTAGAGTACAAAAATTGCAATAAAAATACATAATAACACCTTGCCTTGTCTCGCTGTTTTATTCATGGTGTGCTCGTAGCATATATAGCCGTTTCAGCAAACAACGGTGGAACTAAAACTCGCTGGAAACGCTCTGAAACGGCCAAATATGCTACGAACACACCATTAATAAAACAAGGAAACAAGGTAAGATATTATGTATTTTTATTGCTATTTTTGTGCCCTAAATAAAGATCGCTAAAATCCCCACACAAACCCCGATAACATTTATGTTACGCAACGATTCTCACTCGTGAGTTTGGGTTACCTGTTGTTTGTGATGATCATCTAATCCGCTGGCGGATCTCCTTAAATTCCTGTTCGAGGTCTTCTCAGTTACTACTATTTTAAAACGTTTTATTTTTTTATTAAATGCCATTTTCGAAGTGAGCCCTCTCCATGAGTTGTGTAGCTCTTTTATTAAGGCAAACTTCGCTGGTAGTCCCGGGGGGGGGGGGG